GGAAATACTTGCCTGGAGTGCACAACACCCTAGGTTCAGACCTCAGTACCACAAAGAAAATAATAAAATAAATTCTGAATGTTGAGTTAACTTTCAATAGTCTCAAGACGCTCTTAAGAATGACAAACACATTACTAATTTTCTTCCCAAAAGGACTGGGGAAGCAATTATTTGGTAGTGCACACATGCAATCCCAGTACTTGGGAGGCAAAGGCAGAAGGATCACAGCAAGTTCAAAACCAGCTGGGTCTACAGAGCAAGTACCAGGCCAGCCAGAGGCACAGTGAGACCCAAAAAAACCAGAGGAAGAAGAGAGGGAGGAGGAAAGAGAGGAAGAGGGGGAAGAGGAGGAAGAGGAGGAGGAAGGAGAGGAGGAGAGGAAGGAAGAAGAGGAAGAGGAAGAGAGGGGAAGGAGGAAGGAGAGGAAGAGGGGAAGGGGAAGAGGAGAGGGAGGATAATGAGAGACAGGAGAAGAAGTATCATCTCAGCATTACTGGATAGATTTTGATAGGTAGGAACATGGGCTTCATTTTAGAATGAAATACAAAGTTATTTACTTTCCCACTTTCCTACTGCAGATTCTAAAGCATTTCTTCAAAGTCATTACCAGGAAAATGGGACTTAGCTACACAGTCTATAAAATTCACATCAATTTTTCTTATATAGGAACAGAATATGCCAGGCATGGTGGTACAGGCCTGTTATCCCAGCATTTGGGAAGTAGAAGATAAGGAGTTTAAGGTCATCCTCGGTGCTACTTAGTGCATTCCAGGCCAGCCTGGGCTACATAAAACTGTCATAAAAAATAAAACGAAGCATGGTGATAAAAGCATTTAGTCCTAGCACTTTGAAGGCAGAAGCAGGGAGATATCTGTGAGTTTGAGGCCAGTCTGGTCTGCATAGTGAGTTCCAGGCCAACTGGGGCTACATAGTGAGACCCTGTCTCAAAAGTTAAAAAATAAAGGAAGAAAAGAAGCACAAATAGTTCTTAGGTTAAACTACCCTGTGGTATCCAGACAACATTGTTTCCTTGTATTCACCTCCCACCTCTGGCTCTTACAGGCTTTTCACCCTTTCTTCTACAATGATCCCAGCACGGTGGGCAGGAAGCCCCAGCTCTAGCTGAGGATCTACTGGCAATTCATAGCTGTTGGAAGAAGAGTCAGTTTTCTTCAAGGGTGTGGCACCTGGTAGGCTGACCAGACTCCAAGGGATGGACCCACACTGAAGTGCATTGGAGTAACACAAATTAGAGTTGACAGGCCTTTAAAAAACGCAAAATGATGATAGGACATGAAGCTGGGAAGGGGTTGTAAGGAGGGAGTGGAGATGGGGGACAGGGAGTCCGAATATGATCAAAAACATTGTATGAAGCTCTCAGAGAATCAATAATACTAAAAAGAAACAAAA